AATGTTATAGCTTTTATATAATGAATTACTAGCTAAATGAAGATCCTTTTCGTTTAAAACCCTGAAAATCACAGAAGCTTTCTCTCCTATCCTGACATCTAGAGCTCTGTTTAGCTGTGCTTAATTCTTCCCTTCCTTCATTTATTCAATAAACATCATTAGAGATTAAAAGGTGAGTAAGACATGGCCCTTGCCCTCAAAGAGCTCACAGTCCAGTGGGTGAGACGGACAGAGAGCAGCTATTGGTACAAGGGAAATGCAAAAGCAGAGAAAGCAACAAAGGATGTGGGAACCCAGAGGGCTGAGCTACAAACTCTGCCTGAAGGATTAGGGAAAACGGCCCTGAAGAGGTGACTTTTAATTTGGCTCTAAAAGGATAAACATGAGTTTAAGCAAAGGAAGAAAGGAGAGAGATAAAGCAGTCCAGGTCTACGGAATCACATCAATAAGGGCTCTGAGTCATAGAAGGGCTCATCGTGACAAGAAACCAGGATGGGAGCTAAAAGAATGGGGTGCAGCCAGCTCAGCAGGGCTGACAATGTGAATTTGAATTTGTGAACAAGGAGGTGCAGACAGAGGGTTGTTTTTATCCTCGCCCAAGGATATATTTATTGATTTGTAGGGGGATGAAGAGAAACATCAATGTGAGAGAGAAACATCGATCAAACCGGAAACCTAACTGGGAACGGAATCCTCACCTTTTTGGTGTACAGAACGATGCTCCAACCAACTGAGCCACCCGGCCAGGGCTCCAACAGAGGCTTTTAAGTAGAGGACTGATAAGGCCAAATATTTTTAGGGTAACAACTCTGGATACAGGGAGGTCAGGCTGAAGTGGGGAAGAACAGGATAATTTTTTCCTCCCCCTGCCATCACTCCCAGAACTCAGGACATAAGCAAAGTCCACAGCACTGAACTGCCTTCCCCAAAGACAGACCAAGAAAGAACCCCGCCCTGCCTGCAGCAGCAGGTCAGAGTAAGTCTGACCTAACCTTTTAGGGCTCCTTTCCATTCCAATACTGTCTTCTAGAATCTGAGAGCCAGTGTATCATGCCATCAAGAACACAGGGGAGCTGGCCCTGGCTGGTTGCTCAATGGTTAGAGCATCAGCCTGCACACCAAAGGGTCTTGGACTCAATTCCTGGTCAAGGGCGCATACCTGGCCCTGGTCGGGGTGCACGTGGGAGGCAACCAATCCATGTGTCTCTCTCGAATTGATGTTTCTCTCCCTCCCTTCCATGCACTCTAAAAATAAAAATAAAAAAACAGGGGAACTGGCTCCCAAGCCACACAGACCTAGGTTGAATTCACCGTTTTACTGCCAAGTAAAAGCTAGTTAACACTGTTAAGCCTCAGTTTCATCTGTAAAATGGGGACAACGATAACGGAATGACCTCACGGGAGTGTCGTGAAGATTAAATGAGAAGGTTATAAAATTAAATGCATGCAAAGTACTCAGGTACTCAGCAGTGTTTGGTACAGAGTGTAGTGAGTAGAATGGTGTCCCCCAGATCCACATCAACCCAACATCCGTGAATGTGACCTTATTTGGAAATAGGCTCTTTGCAGATGTAATCAAGTAAAAATGAGGTCATATTGGATTAGGACGGGTGCTAAATCCAACAGGACTGGTGTCCTTATAAGAAGAGGGAAATCTGGACACAGAAACACAGTTACACACACACAGGGGAGAAGGCCATGTGGAGCTGGGGGTAGAGATTGGAGTGATGCATATACCAGCCAAGGAACACCCAGGAGAGTTGAAAGCCCCGAGAAACTAGTAACGAGGCACAGCACAGACCTCCCCAGAACCTCAGGGGAGCCTGGCCTGCTGACACCTCGATTTCAGCCTTCTGACCTCCAGAACTGTGAAAAGATAGACCCGTTATTATAATCCACCCAGTTGTGTAATTTGTGATGGCTGCCCCAGGACACTAATATACAAGTCACTGTTCAATAAAATCAATGTTGGCTGCTATAATTATTAGGGTCAATTGGAAAGACTGGCAAATGCTTAGCACAGGGTAAATTTGGCTGTTAAGAGCCCAAAATCCTGGACTACACGAAGGGCAAGGAAAAGACTGCCAAACAGCTTTTGATGACCTAGGCCTCACAGCCTGGCCACCGACTTTCCCACTGTCCCTCTGCGTGGGGCCACCTGGGCATGTTTCTAGGAAAGCAGGTAGCAGAATTCCTGTAGCTGCCCACGGGTAAGCCCGAGCAGCGTTTCCCAAAGCAGCGCAAAAGGTGAACTGAACACACCTTCCCCAGAGGGCCTGATACTGACCTACTCCTGCCTTTATCAGATTTGTCCAGAAAGGCCGTGCAGAAATCCTAGCAACTGGTCTTGGCATATTTCTGAATCTGTTGGAGCCTTCGTTTTCCCACCTATGAAAGGAGAGCGTTAGATTCTAAAGTTCCTTCCAGCTCTAATTTGAAATTGGTTTGTTTGCTCCTTCAGTTTTCACTCACTAAGGCATTCAAATGCTGGCGCCTCCCGTGTGCCAGGCCCCTCGACACTGAACGAGAGCCTCACAGAGCTCACACACCAACAAAGGAGCCAGCTCCTGAACGATGGATTCACGTGGAATTTTTCATGACGTGTTGCCGTGGATGGCACTGGGTGCCAGAGGAGCAAAGAGCAGGAGCCCTGACCTTGTCCTGGGCAGGTGGGGATGGGGGTGAGGCGGTGGTCAAGAAAGGCTGCTTTCAGGAAATGACAACAATCTTTTTCTTTTTTTTTCATTTTAATCAGTTTGATTTTTTTAAAAAATATTTTTATTGATTTTAGGGAGGAAGGGAGAGGGAGAGAGAGATAGAAACATCAATGATGAGAGAGAATCATTGATCTGCTGCCTCCTGCATGCCCCCTACTGGGGATTGGGCCCGCAACCCAGGCACGTGCCCTGACTAGGAATCAAATTGTGACCTTCTGGTTCATGGGTCGACACTCAACCACTGAGCCACACCAGTCAGGCTTAATCAGTTTGATTTTGTTTAAAATAAATGAAATACTATAAATGTTTTGGGCATTTATATTCTTACATAGTAAATCTTTTATAGTAAACACCATAGACTCAATTAATAAGATGCTTATTTCTTTGTTCCAATAAAGACAAAAATAGCCCGGTTGGTGTGACTTGGTGGTTGAGCATCGACCTATGAACTAGGTGGTCATAGTTCGATGCCCAGGTTGTGGGCTCAATCCTCAGTGGGGGGCATGCAGGAGGCAGCAGATAAATGATTCTCTCTCATCATTGATGTTTCTCTCTCTCCCTCTCCTTTCTCTCTAAAATCACTAAAAATATATTTTTTAAACTATAAAAATAGCTGTCAGTTTTAATGATTGCCTTATTCTTTCTTTATATATTTTATTGATATTTTGTGTGATATATTTATTGCTATGCCAGCTTTTTAAAAATTTTATTTGTATGAAATACCTTTTTCCCTTTACTTTCAGTCTGTGTGTATCTTTTCAATCTGAAGTGGGTCTCTTGTAGAATATATATATCTTGTTTTCTTATCCATTCAGCTACTCTTTCTTTTGATTGGAGAACTCAGTCCATTTATATTTAAAGTGATTATTGATAGGTATGTAGTTATTGCCATTTTATTATTTATATTTATGTTCCTCCCCGCCCCCAGTCCTTTTATTTCCTATAATCCTGGTTTGATGATGATAAATGACATCAATCTAATAAATGAACAAGTAGGTAATAGGCAAAAGCTGGGAGTAGGTAATAGGCAAAAGCTGGGGGCAGCCCCCCAACTATTCTTTTCCATCCTACTTCTGAGTCTCTTGCTGCTTTGCCTATCAGTTGCCAGTTCCCAGCGACCTTCCCTGTGGGTTCCACAGGTGTCATCATTCCTACAGGGGAGGCTGAGCCCGGAGGGAGTGCTGCAAACGTGCAGGAGTGCACGGTACGGGAAGAAGCCAGCTCCTTCCCTCAGAGCCCGCAGTTGGTGGGGAAAACACATGTGAGAAGTTACAACACCCAGTGATAAGGACTATTCTGGAGACCTGATCAGATTACTGTGTCAGTGCAGAGAAGGAGGAATTTATCTGCGGTCCTCAACTTCCGTGTCTGCAAAGTGGGGGACACCCCCCCTGCTTCTTCCAATTACTCAAGTGAGGCCTAAAACAATGGTCACAGGCCTGAAAAGTGTGTAGATCTCTTTAAAGGTGACAGGGACCAAGAATACCCGGAAAAATCTAAGTCCAGAGTTAACCCCAAACACTTGTTAATCGATCTCTTCTCCCCAAAACACACAAGACCTGCCCCTGTTTTCTGTTCTCCTCCATCCCTCTGAACAGTTTAGAACAGGAAGCAGGAAGCAGAGAAATCAAGGATCACCAGCTCCTGGGAAATAAGAGCATTTGCTCAATGATGTCAGGATCCTCCACCCTCCTGAGCATCCCCGAGCACACTCGGAAACCTTCATGGACACACTCTGGACTTCCTTAAGGCCCTCCACCCTCCAGTGCTCTCTCCACTTGCCATTTATTGCTTTACAACCCTAGATTGCTGGGCTGCGCTGGCCTCTGCTCATAACTGTCCTTCAGTAGCTCCCATCTGATCAGGACCAAGGGCAATGGGCCCAGCCCGGCCGACTCAGGAACTCCAGCCACTCCCCAACCCCACCCCCACCCCCACCCAGAGCCATGCTGAAGCCACTCACCACTGAGCACCGTATACTTCTCCCCATCTCCCCAGGACCTGGTACCCCTAGCTTTTTGCCCTAAGGAAAAAGGAACTCAATACTCAAAGTTGTTCAGATAACTTTCACAGGAATCACTGGGGGGCTAAAGAACCGGAGAACTTATTTGGTCTACACCAGCCGAAGCAAAACCTGCCTGAGGTCCCTCCCAGGCTGTGGAGCCTCCTCCCCTTCTGCCCAGCTAACTTCTGGCCCCTGGGATCCCTCACCCCACCAGCCAGACAGCCAGCAGTTGGAGCTGGTGTGTACAGCATAACTAGGGCTGCGCCCCCGTTCATTACCTCCTCAGCACTCTCGCCGCCGCCATCCTTGCCCGAGCTGCTGGACTTGGCCGTGCCTTTGGCAATCTTGGGGGGCTCCTGAAGGAAGAAGATGGAGGTCGAGTTAGTATTTGCCAGGGGAAGGGAGAGGCCTTGTCTGGACCCCTTAGGTCTTTGCTGTAATTATCCTCTGTCCAGTTGAATCAATCAATCAACCAGAACTACCGAGCACCTGCCTTGTATCTAGCCCAGGGGAGGAGGGGCTGGGGTACAGAAAGGGAAATTCAGTCCCCCCAAGGAGCTTAGAATGTGGTTGGGAAGACCTCTCCAACACACAGTAATGAAGCATGATAATGCTCTTTCCCCTCCCAAGGTTGGGACATGAGCTAGGGCCTGGGAGTGCCTCTGTCAACAACCAGGGGAAAAGCCTTAAGGGGAAAGCATGATGGAACAAGCTGCTCACACTCGCTGGGGCTAAAGTGGGCAGAGGGTGCCTGAGGCTCTCCTGCTGGAGGGAAGGATCACCACTCTCCCCCCAGAGCCATCTGGGAAGAGCGAGAGGCATTTTCTTAAATGTCACAAACAGCACCCAGATGACACCGGCACCATCAGTGGGGCCCAGGAATGCTAACATGTATAGGAATTGTCCCAGGAACACCTCAGTGGACAGGACAGAGACAGGGGTGGGAGTAAGGCCCTGAACTGCTACAAAGGGTGAGCACTAGACCCAAGTCTCCCTCGGGAACCTGGCCGCTGGCTCCGAGCCCTGGCCTGCCCAGCATCTCTTCCTATGCTTCGGGCCAAAATAAGCAACTGCACAGGGACAAGATGGGGAAAAAGTGAAAAAGACGGGGATTTAGGTCTGGCTGCAAGCTCACAACAATTCCTCTGTGTGCCATGGATGGCCCGCAGCTCACTTACAGGGACCTTCCATCAGCTAACAGGCCTGTGTGGAGTGCTCGGCACTGGGGACCCGGCCATTGTGGAGGGTCTGGTTCAGCTGTGCGCAGCAGACTTCGGGAGGGACAAAGACAAATTCTAGGTTTTCTTTGGGGTGGGGGGAATATAACCCATACTGGAGTGGATTCAAAAGCATGTCCTGAGAGCAACAGCTGCAGGAACTGGGAGAGGTAACAATGGAAGGGAGGAGTCATGGCAGGAGGGGGAGCAAGAGGGATCTTTACAAATAACTAAAGGGCTGTCCTGTGGACGAGAGATGCAACTTGTTCTATGTGGACCCAGAGGCTCAAGAGCCCTGGCTGAAGTGACAGGAAGACAAGAGGAGGCTCCAAACAAGGAAGAATTTTCTCCAGAGCAGCTGCACAGAAGCCGGCTGCCTCGCGAGGCTGCACGTCCCCAACCCCAAGAGCATTCAAGCAGGGGAGCAGTCACGCCTGCTCCGAGGCTGGTCGCAGAAGGGGTTTCGAGCCTTAATGAAGACTGGACTGGAGGCCCTTGGAAATCACTTCCAGCTCTGAGATTCCGCAACTCAATGGCATCCAAGCCCCTTCAGTGAGAAGTGTTAAATCAAGTGGCTGTGACTATGGGGGCAAAAGGATTTCAGGGAGAAGAAAGCTCTGTGTGGGTGGAGTTGGGGGAAGGCTTTGTGGGGGCGGGGAGAAGGAAGCCATTCCCAGGTGTGGAGCGGCTCCGAGTGAGCAGTGAGCAGTGAGCAGTCACATGAGCGAGCAGAAGCAGGCAGGCGCTCCTTCTTTGTGTCGAATACCCTTCCACTGCCTACTGGCCACGCTGGGCACACTGACCCCTCATCAAGGGGCCAGGGAGTGGCTCAGATCATGGGGTGGAGAGGAAAAGGATGAGGGGGTGCAGGCAGAACACAACACTGAGGTGACTGAACAGACCCCCAATGTGGGCCCCTTGGACACAGGTGACCCCTCTTCGTACGTGTCTCATCTTTCGACTTGATCGTGAGCTACTGGGTCTTTTTTGTGCCCCTCCACCTACCCTAGAAGCACTCAGTCGTATCTCTCAGGGAATGCGCCTAAGAAAGATCCGCGCTGTGTGGCCCACCACTCTCCCTCCCTGGCTCCCGCAGAACAGGTGAAGGGCACACACGCCAGCCCAGCCCAGCCCAGCAGTCCAGAGCTGCAAGGCACCATGGAGCCAGCCCTGTGTTCCGGGCCTAACCCTTACCAGTTACATGATCATACGCAAGTTAACTAGCCTTTCTGAGCCCCAGTTTCCTCATCTACTAAGTGACGAGGATCGTGGTTCCTGATTCCCTTAGCACAGTGTCCATGAAAAGCTTAATGTTAGTCAATGTTATTACTATCATTCTGAACAAGAAGAAAGAGGGAGGGAGCAGGGGCACCTGACTCAAGATGTTAAGTCTCAGATCAGAACACGAGGGAAGAAGAGGGATGCAAATCCCCACAAGAGATTGACTCAGCACCCATCCATTGAGGGCCTACTGTGTGCAAGGGAGACGCCAAACCAAAATGGAACTCAGTTACTATTGCAAAGGGAAGAAAAGACTTGTCCATAATTAATTCCAGTCCAGAAGAACACAAAAGGGGCATCAGTGACCTACCAAGGGTTCTGTAAACCCAGGGCACGAGGGAGAGCTCCCTCCCACCGGAAGGTTCAGGGGCGGTTTCAGGGAAGAGGCTGTGAAGGATGGACAGGACTGGGGCCAACTCGGATGGAGGAGAAAGGAGAGAAGTGATGGCTGAGCATCATTTCCACCCATCCCTTCTTTCTGTCCCCGCCCCATCCAGGCAAACCTGTCACATGTCACCTCCTTCCTCCTCAGGACTTGCCAATCATTGACTGAAGAAGGCCAAAGGCAATTGGAAATCAAAAGCAGAATGTTAAACCTCGAAGGGGATCAGAGATGCCTGGCCCCATGTACTCCAATCCTTCCAACCAAATAATTATCCCTGTGGTCCTAGCAAGTCAAATTCAAATTTCTTCTTCTCAATCATCTAGTCGAGTCTGTGGATGGGACAGACTAAAAACTACAGATAGGTAGAGACCTCACCAGCTTCCCCGAAATTCCATGCCCCTCTGCATTCTTTTTAAAAAAATATGTCTTTACTGATTTATTTTTATTTTTATTTTTTAGAGAGAGGGGAGTGAAACATCAATGTGAGAAACATAGATTGGCTGCCTCCTGTACACCCCCTACCAGGGATGGAGCCTGCAACCCGGGCATGTGCTCTGAACAGGAATTGAACAGGTGACCTCTGGGTTCATGGGATGATGCTCAACCAACTGAGCCACACTGGTACAGGGCTTTCTTTTTGGTAAGATTTCCTTCTCTTTTTTAAATATATTTTTATTGTTTTCAGAAAGGAAGGGAAAGATAGAAACATCAATGATGAGAGAGAATCATTGATCGGCTGCCTCCTGCACGCCCCACACTGGGGATCCAGCCTGCAACCTGGGCATGTGCCCTGACCGGGAATCGAACCGTGACCTCCTTATTCACAGGCCTACGCTCAACCACTAAGCCATGCCGGCTGGGCAGGGCTTTTTTTTTTTTTTTAATCCTCACCAGAGGATTTGCTTTCCCCGTTGATTTTTAGGGAGAGTCGAACGGAGGGAGGGAGGATGGGAGGGGAGAGGGGGGAGAGAGAGGGAGAGAGGGAGAGAGGGGGAGAGATAGATAGAGAGAGAGGGAGAGAGAGAAAGAGAGAGAGAGAAACATCAATGTGAGAGAGACACATCTATTGGTTGCCTCCTGCATGCAACCCAGGTACCTGCCCTTGACTGGGAATCGAACCTGTGACCCTTTTAGCCCCTTGCGTGGCTGTGTGTGTATCATCTAAAGCTAAGCTGCCAAACCACTCACTTGCCAAGGACAGGGCCCTGGGTGGGGCACACAACCCTGACCAATTCAGTGCCCCATGAAGTTCAGTGCCTAGTGCACCATCACAACCCTACACTCAGAACATCAGGACCTGAGAGGTTATGGGGAAAACCCTGGCAGATCTCCAACAGCCCCAGGGTAAAGAGTTTAACTGATAAGGTCAGAGATGGGAGCCCAGCAACCCAGCCCATCAGAGGACAAATGAAAGCATGACACCTCTGGGGTCGTAGAGTAGGTTGCTTTATGTTGGTGCAGAACACCAGGCCAGAGCCATGAGGAACCAGCCCAGGAAAGGAGAAGCTGGGGGAGGCTGGAGCTGGCATTCTAGCATCCTCTGTGTGAATCTGTACCTCAGAGGAACCACACCTCTGAGTCAGATCTCAGCAACAGCAGGAAATAGAGGGCAGAGAAAGGCAGGGATGAAGAACGGGGAAGGTGGTATGGAGGTAGACGAGGAAGGTAGCTCAGTTGGTTAGAGTGTCATCCTGATACGCCAAGGTTGTGGGTTTGATCCCCAGTCAGGGCACATCCAAGAATCAACCAGGGAATGCATAAATAAGCGGAACAGCAAATCGAATTTTCTCTCTCTCTCCCTCCCTTCCTCTCTCTCTAAAAGTAACCAATCAATAAAGCATTTTTTTTTTTTTAAAAAAAGGAAAGAAACAGCCTGTGTCAGGACACCATGACAAAGGCAAGGGTGTTCAGGGGTGGCTAGTCCATGGGTAAGAAGGAAAACTAATCTGATAGTGAGGGCAGATTCCAGATTTACAGACAGTATGGCCCAGGAAAGACAGAAGTCCAACACTGTGCAAAGAATAAAAAATGCAAAGGTTACCCCAGGACTCGGGGATTGGCGCCTGCTCAGCCTGGGAATGGTGACGGGCTGGTCTGAACCTGGGAGACGGCCCTGCCTGTGAGAGGGGACTTCGGAAGAAGGGCCTTTAAGCCCGGAGCCCTGCTGGTGCAGCGGGGCCTCCAGCAGGTTGTGTGACCTTGGCCCCCCTCCCGCTGGCCCGGCCTCAGTCTCCCCATCTGTCCCACTCGGGATGGCGCTGAATGCACTCGGCGGTCCCCTCCAGCATGACATTCTGAGGTCCCACGGACAGAAGGAAAGGCTCAGTCCTGGCTCACAAGTTTGTGTGAGAAGGAAGAACTAGAGGGAGGGGCCTAGGCCAGATTCGGTGGAGGAGAGAGAAGGCAGCGCTGTTCTAGGTCAGGGAGCTGGGCAGGGCGGGAGAAGGGGCTGCAGGGAGCGGCGGGGAAGGCCAGTGCAGGCCTGGGCGGGTCGGAGGAGGAGGGAAGGGGCTGGGAGGGTGGCTAGTCCTGGAGGCACTACCTGGGAGGAGGGCTGTCCCGAACCAGCACACGGGTGGGGGTGGGGGAGTGAGTGGCGGGGGGAGAGAAAGCCGGGGAGTGATCGGGGAGGGGAGTGGGGCAGATCTGGAGGGAGGGGGCTACCCTGGGCCGGGGCAGGTCGGGGGGTGTAAGTGGGGGGGACTCCAGATCGCGCAAGATGAGGGTGCTTTCCCAGTTGCAGCACAGGCGGGGGGTGCGCCCGGCAGCGGGGACGGCGGGCTGGCCCAGGGAGTCCTGCGGGGGCCGGACGGGAGGGTCAGCCCGGGGCTGTCCCGGGCCTGGCTCGAGCCCCTCCCAGAGCTCCGCGCAGGCCCCAAGGCGGAGGCGGAAGGAAAAGGGCCACGCTCACCTTCTCCTTCTTCAGTTTATAGGGCATCTCGGCCCGTCCGGACCCGGCCTGGCTCCTGCGGCCCCGCTCCGGCTCCGGCTCCGGCTTTGCTCGGCCGCACTCGGCCCGCTCGGCGTCTCCTCGCCACCGCCTGCGCGCTGCGCCCGGGTTGATCGGTGTCTGCGCCTCCAATTGGCCCGAACTCTTCCAAACCTGCCTGACAACCAGACGCCGCCTCTTCCGATTGGCCATTGGCGCCAAGCTGCTTCCTTTTTTTCTCATTGGAAAAGAAGAGTACAAACCGCCAGGGTTCGGCTCCAAGAATTGGCTCGAGTGGGAGGTCCCGCCCTGGAGTGGGTCGAGCTTAGCGAAGGAGGCGGGGGTAAGGGGAAGCCCAAGCTGAGGACTGAGTGCCGCACTCCGGCGGCGTCGGGGCACGTCGGCCTCGGCCTTTCTTCGCGGCCCGTTCCCTTCTAAGGGGGCTCGCCCTCTTTCTCCACTCGCTGCTCTGCCCAGTCCGAATGGGAGGAAAGAAGCCCTAAAATGAAGGGGTGCCTTTCTTCTTCAGGGTAACGTAGCACTAATTGGTGGAGAGGACTCGATGGCATCCTTTCCCCAAACAGGGCTTGCAGAGAAGCCAAGGGGAAGCCTCGCAGACGGGGGCCTGGGTGAAATGAGGCGAGAATCCCGGGTTTGTTGCTACTTTGGGAAGAGGGTCCCTGTTCCTACTGCCGATCTCCTGGGATTGGGGAACCAGCTAGATTTGTGCACTTGGAAACTCAGGGTTTAGTGTCTCGGGGAAATACATCCCTTACTCCCCACCCCGCACAAGCTAATGTCCTAAAGGATAAGATCAGTTCCTGCCCTCAGGGAGTTCCAGTCAGGTGAAGTTCACAGACAGGTATAAACAGATGGTTAAGATACAGTGTAATAAATTGCACAAACCTAGACTGGGCTGGAGGAATATGTTTCAGAAAGTTGACTCCAGTAGCAGATTGACTACATGAAGAAACTGGAGAAGGTTTAAGAATAAGCCTGTGCTCCTTGCCCAGGAGAGCAATGTTATAATACGACTAGAGGCCCAGTGCACGAAATTCGTGCATGGGTAGGGTCCCTAGCAGCTGCCAGCTGGGGCCTTCCTTCATTCCGAGCCGCCCCCTGGTGGTCAGTGCACATCATAGCGAGCGATCAAACTCCAGGTGGGTCCAACTCCCGGAGGGGGCACTTTGCATATTAGGCTTTTGTATCTATAGATGGCCATGGGCATGGAGAAGAAGGATGGAATTGGGAAATGTGTAGAATCAACAGGATTTGGTGATTCACTGGATTGTGGGGAGGATGTGTAAGGGAAAGGGAGGAGTTGAGGATGACTTCAGGAAGCTATTAGGGATGTAGGAGGAAAACTGGTGTCATAATGGCAAAGGGATTAAAAGAATTGGTCAATAGTGTCAGATTCCAGAGGAAGACTGAGTAAGATCAAGATCAGACAGCATCGCCTTGATTCTGCAGTTGAGAGGTTATGGGTGATCTTTACAGGAAAGTTTCAGAGGAGTAAAAGGAAGCTTATAGTGGGTTGAAGAGCCCTAAGAGGTGTGAAAGTCTTATAGAAGTAGTGTTTGGCTCCCAGTGACTAATACAATTTTAAGGTAATGCAGATTGGACTGTATGCCAGCCATTATTTGCTGGGGGAAAGCCTGGGAGGAAAGGACATTTATTTATGGATGGATATTTGTGTCCATGTGGGTGCCAACTGAGACAGGATACCAGATGTATTTACCCATTCCAGAGGCCTTAAGAAGTACCATAGCCCTAAGGCCTAGAGCAGTGACGGCGAACCTATGACACGCGTGTCAGAGGTGACACGCGAACTCATTTTTTTGGTTGATTTTTCTTTGTTAAATGGCATTTAAATATATAAAATAAATATCAAAAATTTAAGTCTTTGTTTTACTATGGTTGCAAATATCAAAAAATTTCTATATGTGACACGGCACCAGAGTTAAGTTAGGGTTTTTCAAAATGCTGTCACGCCGGGCTCAAAAGGTTCGCCATCGCTGGCCTAGAGCTTGCCTGCTGCTGTGTAAAGCAAGCATATCCTCTTTGGACCCACTCCACTATCCTTTCAGTCCTTGGTCCTCTGGGAGGCAGGGGACGGAGGCACATAATAGTTTAGAATTACCAAATAGGAATTTTCATCCATGCAAATTCAGCTACCTCGTACGTTCTTGCCCACTGTTGTCAAGATGTGGGACTGTGCAATTTCGGGTTTAGGACTAGAGGTACCTCCAGGAACTATTAATCAGACATTTTTCAAAATCTTATCACTTTAGGGATGGAAATGCCTTATAACATGTAAATGTAATATTCAGCTAGCATTTTTAGGAACGCATAATGTACAGAGTGGAAGACTGCCTCAGGATGCTCGCTGCAAAGGAAAGGAGAAAGTTGGGCAGTAGCTGGAAGAGCATGCAAGGTCCAGAACGCGTAGGTTACCACCAACGAATCCATTGATTCTAAGTACATATACAGTACAGGGTGTCCCCCCAAAATGTATATACACTTTAACAGCTGATAGCTCAATTTTGAAAATGAAATATATTTTAATAAACGCTGCCTTTATAATTATTCAAAGTGTATGTATGTATATTTTGTTAATATACATACACCCTATATTTTGTTAATAACTGGAAGCGTGGCCTACCAGTGTCTAGTGTCGTGTACAGAGCAGGGAGATGGAGACAAGTATGAAATCGAAGTAACAGTACAGGTGGGACGCAAGAGCTGTTGGTTTGGTGCTCATGACTGAAGCCTTGAACCACTCTCTTTTGCCTGCTCTGCTATCCTCCCCGCCCCCCCCCCCCCAACCCCCTTAGAAACAGAAAGTGGATCTCCAGTTTGCAAGGATTGGCTGGGAGAGAACAGCTGGTTTTGGAGGGATGAAAAAGCGAAGCTGCTTTGTCTTTGCTTCAAGTTCGGTGGGAGTAGAAAGAAACAGGACAAGAAACACTGGGACGTGGGTTTTGTGTAGGAGGCGTTGGAACAGGTGTGGCAGCACTCAGCACTCCAGGGCTCCATGAATCACATGCAGCAACTCAGCCAGCAAGCACTGCATACCCACAAGCACGCCTGAGACCGTTTTATAATCCTACCACTCCCTCCTTCAACCTTCCCACAACCCCAAACCTCAGTGCCGACACTCGCACAGTGGGAACGGTAGGATTTCCATAGAGAAATGGGCTCCTTCCTGAACACTCCACCCACAGCTCCCAGCCGCGGGCCGACTTGGCCCGCTGCACGCTGACCGGTCATTGATGATTCAAGGAATGAGGCGCATGCTATGGGGCAAGGTGGTTGAGAGGACGTGCCTCCCTTAGCAGGCGCGCAAGGCAAATCCCTGGAAACGGTTTCCAAGGACGCGTGCGCAAAGACTGCCACCGCAGCGCACTGTGTTACTGCCATCGAGGTACCCACCAGACCGAGCCAGGGCGCAGCTCACCCTCCGAGCAAGCGCGCTGCACCCACGCCCCACCCACCTGCCTCGCACCTCCTCCGACGGAAGCGGAAACGGCGCACGCCGCGGAGCCGCGGGGCTCTCTGGCTCCGGGAGGCGCGCTGCTTCTCCGGCCCCCGGCGTCCCTGTCGCCATGGCGCTGGCCGTCTTGCGGGTCCTGGAGCCCTTCCCCAACGAGACACCCCCGTTGGCCCGTGTTGCTGCCGCCCGGGGGCCCCGTGCTCTGCGGCGGGGCACGGCCTGTTGCTGTCCCTGCGGCCCCGCAGGAGAGAGCCCCGGTGGGGGCCGGCGCTGCCTGGTGGCGGCCCTTGGAGGGAGCGGGCCGCGAGGGTCGAGGAAGCAGGGGTCCCGGGCCACTCGCAGCTGCTGGTGAGCCCGCGCCGCTGCTCCGGCTCCTGGCCCTTGGGCTCCAGGACGCGGGTGCGGGTGCGGCCGGTGCGGCGGCCCCCGGCGCTGGGCTGGGCGTTGCTTGGCACTTCGCCGGGGCCCGGGCTCGGACCGCGGATCGGGCCGCTGCTGGTGAGGCGCGGGGAGGCCCTGCCCGTGCCCGGGCCGCGGGTGCTGGAGACGCGGCCGGCGTTGCAAGGGCTGCTGGGCCCGGGGACGCGCCTGGCGGTGACTGAGCTCCGAGGGCGGTCCAAACCGGGCCCCGAGACGGGGGACGGCAGCCGGCCCCCACCCCCGCCCTTGGTGTCCTCCTTCGCGGTTTCCGGTGCAGTCCGGCGACTCCGGGGCGTTCTAGGGGGGACCGGAGAGTCCCTGGGGGTGAGCCGGAGTTGTCTCCGGAGCCTCGGCCTCTTCCAGGGCGAGTGGGTGTGGGTGACCCCGGCCGGAGCGTCCTCGAAGGCTTCCCAGCCCCGCTTGGCCAGGGTGCAGGTCCTGGAGCCTCGCTGGGACCTTTCTGAGAGGCTGGGACCCGGCTCTGGGCCGGTGGGAGAGCCCCTCGCCGATGGACTGGCCCTCGTGCCCGCCACTCTGGCTTTTAACCTCGGCTGTGACCTCCTAGAAGTGGGAGAGCTCAGAATCCAGGTAGGACATAGGACGGAGGCCAGGAATGCTTATGCGCCTTCTCCCCTCTTCGTTTTAATCAGAAGTAAAGGTCCTTTGCTACTTAGATCTTGGACTTTTCGCTTAAGTCTCAGCCTGATTGATCCTCTCTCTACAATCAAAGTATCGTTCTCCTCCATAGTGCGCTGGTGCGTGGGAAGGGCCTTCTTCTATTGGGGTGAAATGTGAGGTGCACCAAGCACCAGGGGTACACATTAATCAGCTCAGCCTAACAAGTGTTTGTGGAAATGCCGGCGTACCCCGTATTGTGCTGGGTAGTATGGGGGATGATACTTCAGTGATTTGCTCATGCTTATCCTTGGCTTCAAATTCTTTCCTGTTCTTCTCCCCTGTATCTGTTAAAAGTGCAACCATCCTTTCCTTCAAGGCCCATATAAAGATGCCACCATCCTCACAAAGCCTTTCCTAATTTCACCATCAAAAATTTAACATGACATCCTCTTATATATAGCATTGTGCCTTTTTTTGAAGCATTTATTTTATTCTGCCTTTTTTTATGTTCATGTCATCTGTCGAATCCCCAATTATATATTGTAAATTTCTTGAAGGGAAGGCCCTTTATTAT